TTTCTCAGCATCAAGCAGGCCCATAAGTCACTTGGGTAATATTTATTTTTTGCTGGAAAGTATGAATTTTTTGGAAAGATCCAACTCCCTGGAAGCCTGTCTCTGTCCCTTGTGGGCGGTAGATATTGGCAGAGGAGGCGCTGTGATTGCAGCGTTGATGACAGGTCTGCTTCGTGGGCGACACATTTGTATTGCTCATCTCCTATTAGAGGATGAGTTCAATCCATATTAATCTCATTTTTAATCGCAGACAGGATTCTAGAAAGTATAAATGTCTTCTCCCATTCTGTAAAACAGCTGTGGTACTTCAGGGTGCTGAATGCTGGCTTCTTGGCCCATCTTTTCAGGAGGGGGACACAGGATGCTCCTGACTGGGGACATGCTTTTGTGCTTCTGCCTAATCTTATGCTTAATTTCATTCCAGTTGGAGGCAGGAGCCAGACCCTAGAAAAAGGAGCTTCTTTTGGAAATTTATTTGCCAGGTTGCCTGAGACCTTTGTGAGGTCCCTGGTGATAGAGGTATACTGGTCAGATCTCAGACCTAAGGGATGACTGGCAAAGGATCAGTTCCTTGAAAAATAATTAATTCCTTGGCAGTGAACCTGGTCGATGGCCTAGAAGGCCTTACACTGTCCCCTCTTAGGCACACGTGTGCAGGCATCCGTATGAACACGTAGCAAGCCACTTTCCCCTCTGCTCACTACAGAGGCCACACTCACTTTTTTGCGCTTCTTTGAACCTAACACGCCTGTTTTTCTACCTCAGGGTCTTTGCACATGCCGTTCCTGTTGCCTGGAAGACTCGTTCCCCATTTTCTGAAATGGCCACTGTTCTGTAATCATTTGGGCCTGGCTCAGAGGTCACCTCCCCAGAGAGGCCTCTTCTCACCACCTCACCTACAAGAGCCCTCCTCATCACTCTGTCCTGTTACCTGATGTATTTTCACCATAGCACAGAACCCTGTCTACAGTTGCCTTGTGTATTTATTGTATTACATGTTTAAAGGAGCTCTCTCCCTAGAAAGGAGGCTTCAAACAAGGACCCTCTGTTGTTTTCCCCACCATATCCCCAGTACCTGGAATAATGCCAGCCTGTGATAAATGCTCAGTGAGTATTTGTTGAATGGATGGATGTATTAATTGAATATACTTTGCATTTGTCATATGCAGATTCCAAAGACTTAAACTCACATTTATATTGAGAGACACTTATATTGCTTTAAAATGAGACATGTCAAGATTAGAGTGAGAAACAGTTTTGTGTTACTGTGAAGCAGGTCTTTTGCTGTAGCTTGACCTGAAAGTCTTAAATGCCCGGTGTTGTCAGGAGCTGAGCAGAAGTTCAGGTCTCATTGCTGTTTGTTTTCCATTAGTATGTTCAATCGTGTTTTCTGTTTTCAGAGGATACTACTAGGCACTAGTAGCTTTTTAGCTCTTGTGTGAAATTGTGTGAATTAAAAAAAAAAGTCTTGTAAAGAAGATATAAATAACGTAAGTTGAGACATAACCATGTTGATGGATTGCAAGATTCAGCATAGTAAAGATGTCGGATCTCAAATTGATCTATAAATTTAAAACAGTTCCAATCAAAACCCCAGCAAGCTTTTCTTGTAGATGTAGACAAGCTGATTCTAAAATTTATATGGAAAGGCAAAGGAACGAGAATAGCCAAAACAGTTTTGAAAAAGGAGAAAGTTAGAGGCATCCCACTACTGATTTTAATAACTCGCTATAAAGCTGTAGTAATCAAGAGCGTGGAATTGGTGGAGGGACAGACACACAGATCAATGGAATAGCACGGAGTCCAGAAATAGACCCACACAAGTATGACTGGTTAATTTTGGACGAGGGTGCAAAAGTAATTCAATGGAGAAAGGATAGTCTTTTCAACGAATGGTTTTGGAAAAAGTGGACATCTGTATGCAAAAAAAAAAAAAAAAATTGCCCTAAACCTACCTTATATGTAAATTAACTCACAGTGGATCACAGATCTAAATGTAAAGTGTAAAACTGTCAGAAGCAAACATAGGAGAAGATCTCTGTGACCTGGACAGAGAGTTCTTTTTTTTTTTTTTTTCACTTTTTTTTTTAATTTTTATTTATTTATTTTTCCCCCAAAGCCCCCGTAGGTAGTTGTATGTCATAGCTGCACATCCTTCTAGTTGCTGTATGTGGGACGCGGCCAGGCCAGAGAAGCAGTGCGTCGGTGCGCGCCCGGGATGCGAACCCCGGCCGCCAGTAGTGGAGCGCATGCACTTAACCGCTAAGCCACGGGGCCGGCCCCTGGACAGAGAGTTCTTAGGCATGACCCCAAAAGCATGCACCATGAAAGGAAAAAAATGGTAAAATAGGTTTCATCAAAACTTCTATGAAGTGGATGAAATGACAAGCTGCAGACTGGGGAAAAGTTTGCAAATCACATGTCCAACAAAGGACTTTTATCCAAAATATATAAAGAACTCTCAAAACTCAGCAGTTAAGAGAACAAACAACCCAATTAAAAAAATGGGCATAGGACTTAGACACTTCACCAAAGAAGATATGTGGATGGCAGATAAGCACATGAGAAGATGCTTAGCATCATCATTAGTGATTAGGGTATTGCAAACTAAAGCCATGATGACATACCACTACACACCCCTTAGAATGTCTGAATTAAAAAACAAAGAATCCCATGTAGCGGTGAGGATGTGGAGCGACTGGGACTGTTGTGCATTGCTGGTGGGATTGCACATGGTACACCACTCTGGAAGATAGTTTGGCAGTTTCTTATAAATGGCAGTCTCACTCCTAGGCATTTACCCTAGAGAAAGGAAAAGTTATGTTCACGCAGAACCCTGCCGGTGAGTGTTTATTGCAGCTCTCTTCATAATTGCCAAAACCTAGAAACACCCCAGATGTCCTTCAGTGGATGAATGGATAAACTGCTACATCCGTACAGTGGAATACTGCTCTGCAATGAAAAGGGACAAACTGTAGATGCATGCAACAACGTGGATGAATCTCAAAGGCTGAGATTCATAATTATTAATTCAGATTAACAATGCTGAGTGAAAGAAGCCAGTTTCAAAAGGTTATGTACTTGAAGACCAGGATTGTAGCAGTGGTTGCCAAGGGCTGGGGGGGACAATGGGGAGTTGTTGTTTAATGGGTACAGAGTTTCAGTTTTACAAGATGAAAAGAGTTATGGGGGTGGATGATGGTGATGGTTGCATAATAATGTGAATGTATTTAGTACCACTGAACTGTACACTTAAAAATGGTTAATTACCATAGTACATTTTATGTCATGTATGTTTTACCACAATAAAAAAAAAGGTTATGTACTGCTGATTTCATTTACATGACATTCTTGAAAAGACAGTATAGTGCTGGAGCCCAGGTCGGTGTGCCAGGGTTGGGGGAGGGTCTGGCTGCCAAGGGGCAGCACGAGAGCGTGTCGGGGTGACGAGGCTGTTCTGCTGCTTGGTTGTGGTGGCAGTTACACAGATCTCCACGTGGGTTAAAATTCATAGACCTGCACACCCAAAAACGTCTTACTATACGTTAATTCAAAAATAAAAACAAACTCCCACACCCTGCAGAAGTGAAAGCTCAAAACTAAAGCGCTAGAATAAAGGCAGCATAAAAGCAATTAAAATAAAAAAAAAAACCGTAAAGTCACTCTGTGTCAGTATGTAAATAAACAGAAGATGAAATCTGCCACAAAAGCTAACCACAGGCTTTTTACATCTGATTGCAAAAGCCTGTTGGAGTGGTTTTCACATCCTTTTCTGAGGACTGTTAGTCATAACGTGTAAGAAGTTGTGCAGTGTTCGTGCTTGTTTAATATTTCGATAAAGCTTTCGGGCCAAATTTTAATTATTCTCTTTGAAATTGAACTTTGATTCTCCCAGGTTGTTTTAGTTTGCTCTAGTTCAACACGGCGGTTCTGGGAATGCCCCGGGGGGCCCGCGTGGGTGGGGGACCTTCACTGAGAGGCAGTGATCGCACCTGGGCCTTGCGTCAGAGTCATTTCTGGGGCTTAAAAAATGCAGGTGCTCAGAGGGCACCCCAAGGAGATTTAGGAAGTTTGGATCTGTGTGTGGGCTGGGGCCTGGACAGCTCTGTGTGTGTGTTTAAAGCTCCTCGGTGATTATACTGAACGGCCTGGTTTGCGATCTGTGGAGTGGAATGGGAGTCAGCCAGGCAGGAGTGAGGGAGCCAGGTGTAGTAGGAGTACAAGAGGGCTATCAACCAAGCCTGGGGAGGGCCTTCCTGAAGGAATACTTCCCGGAGGAGATGACTCCTGAGCCAGAGTCCCAAAGGATGGGAGAATTGCTAGACAAGGACAAGGAGGGTGTTCCACTCGGAGGGTAAGAGCCGGGATGGACTGGGTGCTGCAAGTGTGTGGTGCTGGTGGAGGAGGATGTGGCAGGGGGCAGCTGGGAGAGGACACCAGGGTGGAGCGGGGACCAGGGGGTGGAGGCCCCAGTGCCAGGGAGAGTGGCTGAGGCTGGCTTGTGTCAGTGTCTCGAGCTGCAGTCTTGGGCCAGCTGAATCAGAGTCGCCTGGGAGGAGCTGCCTACTGTGCAGACACCCTGAGCCCCACCTGGATCAGACGTTCTGAGGGTTGGAGTCCAGGGGGTTGGAGTCAGAGCCACTGCAGTGCGAGTTGGGGAGCCAGCAGTTTTCCACGAAGACTTTGCTTCATTTGTGTGTGTGTCTCACTCGTGTTCTGCCACATAGTCACTCCTGGAGTCCACTGCAGAGCTGTGCATTGGGGAACTCTAATCTTTTTCAGGTTTGCTGGGGAACAGGTTTGTAGACTGGCTGTGAAAACATGCACACCCTTCTTGAGCTGTCTGTTCATTACAAGTGTCATTGTTTTCCAGAAAGAAGTGGACCCCCTAGTGTGGGGCTCTGGGCCTGTGAGGTTTTTGTTGAGGAAGAAAAAGAAGGTGAGGTGGGGTTTGCCCTGGGGGAGGCGGTGACGCTTCTTGGTTTCCCATGTCTTCCCAGGAGCAGCAGCCGAGCTGGACAGACGACCTGCCGCTCTGCCACCTTTCTGGGGTGGGCTCAGCCTCCAACCGCACCTACTCTGCTGATGGCAAGGGCACCGAGAGCCACCCCCCGGAGGACAGCTGGCTCAAGTTCAGGTAGGGGGCCCACGTGCTCTCCTGGGCATTGGAAGCAGGTTTACAAGCAAGAAAAGGAGGAGATTTGCAGCTGTCCCATGTAGGGTTTGCCGGTGAGATGTGGCCCATGGGAGGTGGCCTCTGCTGCTGTCCCTCCCACATCTAGAGCTCAGAGCCGAGGGCCTGCTACTGTGGGGGCGGGGGGCGTCCCAGAAGGTCGTGGCCAGAGTGAAGTGATGGTCAAAGGGGGGAACCTAGGTGGGTACCTGAAGCCACAGCTGCTGTATCTTTGGTCTCCCCCAATTCCTTCCCCTCCCCCTCCCCTCGGGACCCTGGTCTCAGGCTGCCTCCTGCCCTCCCTCTGTCAGGAGTGAGAACAACTGCTTCCTCTATGGGGTCTTCAACGGCTATGATGGGAACCGGGTGACCAACTTCGTGGCCCAGCGGCTGTCCGCGGAGCTGCTGCTCGGCCAGCTCAACACCGAGCACACCGAGGCCGACGTGCGTCGCGTGCTGCTGCAGGTATCAGAGCTTGGGCTGGCGGACCAGGACCCAGGCGCATCGTGTCCCCGGGAACTCAGCCCTGCGGCTATGAAGTGCAGGCTCAGCCAGGGTTGGGCTGAGGACACTGCCAGCTTCTCCCCTGCAGAGAAACCAGCCCAGGGAGCCTCTCCGCAGCAGGGGCTCCCCACTTCCCAGGAGTCCAGGACCCGGCGGCTCTGGAGGAGATGCTCCTGGGGAAAGGGGATTAGGGACGGAACCCTGGACAGCGGGGTGCCGTGGACGGCTGAGCCCTGGTGGAAACGGTGATTTAGGGGCCCCTTTCCTTCAGGTGGGCTTAGGCACCCTGGGCCTCGCCTCCTCGCTGGCTGGTGCTCATTGGCCAGGTCTGTGTCTGCTTGCTGCTGTTCTGGAGCTTTTCCTCGTGGCGTCTCTTTTTGGAAGCACGTCGGGAGGCACTTAGTTCTAGACGAGGAAGATGGGTTCCTGTTCCTCAGAAACAGTGTTCCCAGCCATTCTCCGGCCTCAGCGCCAAGGGCCAGAGCACCCTCTCCGGCCCCAGGGCTGTGTGCCAGTAATTCTCAGTGGGTCCCCCCGGGAAAGGCAGCAGCGGGACCAGCGTCGGGGGACAACAGGATGTAGTAACAACATCAGCTGTCGCTGGTCTAGACTCTGAGCCAGGTGCTGAGCGCAGGGTGAGTTATCTCAGTCCCCTCAGAGCAGCACCATCTCTGTGCAGAGATGAGGAGACCGGCAAGTAGCGAAGCAGGAACTCACCCCCGGGCGGTCCGATTCCAAGCTTCCCACCTCTGCAGTCGCTCTCTGTGCTGCCTCGGAAGGTGCCGGCCCCTGGGCAGGCGTGTTTGTCAGACATTGCTCTGCAGGAGCAGTAGTGCCTGGCGGTGCCTGTGGAGCCCCCGTCACTTGATGACCCGCAGTTAATATGATTTGTTGCTGTTGACGGGGTGTTTCAGCATCAGATGATAATGGTGTTTTGAGCTGGCCTTTGCCCTGACCCCTCTCCTTGTCTCCTGTCCCTCCAGGCCTTCGATGTGGTGGAGAGGAGCTTCCTGGAGTCCATCGATGACGCGTTGGCGGAGAAGGCGAGCCTACAGTCCCAGCTGCCAGAGGTAATCCCCCCAGCCCACTCCCCAGGAGAAGCACGTCGAGGCCCAGCTTTGCTAGGAGCAAGGACTCATCTTCTCGTCACTCCTAGGCCATTGGCACAATGGGGCCAGAGCAGCGGAAGTCAAGGGGACAGTTCCTGACTGGGGGAGGCTGGTAGTGATGGGTTTGCCCTCCGAGGAGCCTCCCTGGCCGACTGGGCAGCTTTACTGTGAAGCTCAGCATGGGGGGGGCCAGTGAAGGGTGTGAGGAAAGGCCTGAATCTGTCCACAGCCTCGTCACCTACCTGTGCACGTCACCCACCAGCACTGTCAGAGCCCACGGGACAAGTTAGGTCACCTCCGGCTTTCTGGAAGAAGCCTGCCGTGGGGCTTCCATCCTGGCCGGGCCCTCAGATCCTGCTCTGTAAGGGAAGGGAGGGTTGGTGAGGTGGTCTCCGAGGACACGGCCTGCTCTGACCCCTGATGGTGGCTTGTAGGGTGTCCCTCAGCACCAGCTGCCTCCTCAGTATCAGAAGATCCTTGAAAGACTCAAGACGCTGGAGAAGGAGATTTCAGGAGGAGCCATGGCCGTCGTGGCAGTCCTTCTCAACAACAAGCTCTACGTCGCCAATGTCGGTGAGCCGCCTGCCTGGCCCAGGGCAGGGAGGGCTGGGGGAGAGAAGGTCAACCTCAGGGGTCCGTGCGTTCTTTGGGCAATCTGCTCTCCAGGCACGTAAGACCGCCAGCCCGAGTCTCCCGAGTCCACTAGTTGTCTTCCTGATCCTCCACAGGAGTGTCTCAGTCCCAGTGGGAAGAAAGGACGGCTGGGGGGCATGTGTCTGGGCTTTAATCCCCACTCTGCCCCTAACTGGCTTTTGGCCTTTGGGCGAGTCACGTCCGCTCTCTGGGTCTCCTCAGTGGCTTCCTCTTCTGGAAGAGGTAGTCTGGCTGTGGAAGACCCACTCGGCATCCCATGACAGGCAGTGAGGTGGGCTGGGTGTGGGCTGGACGGTGAGGGGCCACAGGGATGTTCAGATTTGTGGGCAGAGCAGCTGAGAAAGCTGGACCCCAGGGTGCAGATTACGGTAAGAGCTCTGAAGAGACCCCACTAATAATGTCCCTCCCTCCCTTCCTCCTTCCCTTAACGTTTCTTTTTTTGTGAGGAAGATCAGCCCTAAGCTAACATCCATGCCAATCCTCGTCTTTTTGCTGAGGAAGACTGGTCCTGGGCTAACATCTGTGCCCATTTTCCTCCACCTTATATGGGACGCCGCCACAGCATGGCTTGACAAGCGTGCCTCGGTGTGCACCTGGGGTCTGAACCCTGTGCTGCCAGCAGCAGAGCGCGCGCACTTAACTGCTACGCCATGGGGCCGGCCCCACCCTTAAGATTTCATCATGGAAATTTTTCAAAAATGTGAAAAACCAGAGTGAATAGCATTTAATGAACCCCCTGTGCCCATCCCCCAGCCCCCACAATCAGCACATGGTGGCCAGTCTCTCGTTTCTTCTATAGCCCTTTGTCCCCACATTGTTGGGAATCAAACCCAGACATCGTGTCATGTTATCTATAAATATTTCAGTATGTCTCCCTCGAGAAAAGGTCTCTTTTGGGCCGGCCCCGTGGCTTAGTGGTTAAGTGCGCGCGCTCTGCTGCTGGCAGCCCGGGTTCGATCCCGGGCACGCATCAACGCACCGCTTCTCCAGCCATGCTGGGGCCGTGCCCCACATGCAGCAGCTGGAAGGATGTGCAGCTATGACATAGAACTATCTACTGGGGCTTTGGGGAAAAAAAAAAAAAAGAAAAGGTCTCTTTTATTAAAATCCTAATCCCAGAAGGACACTGGAAAAGTTTAGCCTAATTCCTTAATATCATCAGCTCTCCCTGACTGGTGACTCACCCCAGTGGTCTCAGCCTCTTTTCGTAGTTCATTTCAAGGATTTCCATGTGTGAGATGCCTTTTCTCTCTCTTCTCACCGTGTCCTATTCTTCCCGCGCTCAGTCTTTGCTCAGCTGCTCAAATTCTGCTGCAGGTACAAACCGTGCCCTTTTATGCAAGTCCACGGTGGACGGGCTGCAGGTGACACAGCTGAATGTGGACCACACCACGGAGAACGAGGATGAGCTCTTCCGCCTCTCGCAGCTGGGTGAGCAGGGGCTGCAGGCCAGGGGTCCGTGGGAGTGGGGAGGCCGACCCCGTGGCTCACCCTGTGCCCTCTTCTGGCGGCCGTGTAGTGGACGGGCTGTGACCTTGGGCTGGGGACCAGCCTGCCTGGGGTTGAATTCCGGCTCTGCTGATTACTAGTTGGTGATGTCTAGGACTTTCTCAGGTTTTCTGTGAGAATGATAGTAACACTACCTTAGGGTAGGATGAAAAGAGTTAATACGTGTAGAATGCTTCCGAGAGTACCTGGCACGTGGTAGGTACTCACTGTTATTATGGAAACAGAGAGGTCCTGAGCGTCCAGCCGCCGTGGCCACTCCCTCCCTTCCCACTCGGCCCCCAGCGAGAGGGCCTTGCTGGGCAGGGCTGGATCCTGTGTGGAGGAGGGGCTCTGAGCGAGGCGTGTTCTGCCGGGGTTGGGGACGAGGACACTGGGGGACTTGGGGTTAGCCGCTCTCCGGGGCGCCCTCTGTGGCTGCATGTCCTGTTCAGTGGCTCCTCGTTGTCTGGGTTCCGGGGCTGTGTCTGCACCCCTCCTGTCGTCCTCTCTGTGAACAGGGTCTGGGGCTGTCGTGTCCTCCCTCTGCCAGGTTTGGACGCGGGAAAGATCAAGCAGGTGGGGGTCCTCTGTGGGCAGGAGAGCACCAGGCGCATCGGGGACTACAAGGTCAAGTACGGCTACGCTGACAGCGACCTCCTCAGGTAGGCGGCCGTCCCGCGGCCCCATCTGTTTGCAAGGCCAGGGGGCCGGGGCAGAAGCAGGCGTGTGGCCCTACGGACAGAAAAGGTGCAACTGAAGTAGTTGGAGCCACGGAGACGCTTTCTTCCTCTCAGAGAGGTTGGTGTGGGGCTCTGCACCCGCTGCCCCGGGAGCTGGGGTCCTGTAGAGCTACGCTGGCAGGCTAGGCTGGGCCAAAGCCAGGGGCAGCAACGGTGCCACAGGGCCTGGCAGGAGAGGCCAGAGTGGCACGAGCCGCCTGGCGTAGATAGGGATGGACTGAAGGCCTGTTGGTCAGTCTGGCGTGGCTGGAGCCAGGGCAGAGGTGCGAGATGAATTGTCCTTTCTGAGTGCCACCCAGTACTCACGGCAGCAAATGGGCGATGATGCGTTTATGAGCCGTTGTTGTGCCAAGCCTGTGCTCAGCTCTTTACACACATCCTCTTGTTCAGTCCTCGGGCTCTCCGAGGTGGGTGCTGTTATTGCCCCAAAGGTATTTTCATACGGGGAAACTGAGGCATGGAGACATGAGGTGGCCTCCCTGGTCCAGGGCTGGCAGCGGGCTCAGGTTGGGCTTGAACCCAGGCAACCTGAACTCAGACCGTGTCCTTAACCACTGGCTCACCTGTCTGTGAGGACGTTGATTGGGGACACAGGCGTGTGTGTGAGGTGCTGTCTTGTGTCTTAGAAAGCACATGTGAGAACTCCTTACTCTCACAGGATTTAGGCTATCGAGTTTGGGGTCTCTAATTTGTGGGGCTCTGTGTGCTTTATTGGAAAGTACATTTGTGGTTTAAAACAATTCAAACAGCACCAAGGATGCACAGTAAAGTCAGTCTTCTCCCACCCCAAGCCAGGACTCCTTCTCCAGAGGCCGCTAGTTTCTCGTGTGTCCTGACCCAAGGTGTCTGTGCACGTGTGCGGGTGCGCACGCGTGCGCGCAGTGGGGCATCCTTTCCAAACACCCACAAATGCGTGTGTGTGCATGCGTGTGTCTGTGGTGGGGCATCCTTTCCAAAACGCCCACAAATGCCAGTTTGTGTGTGTGTGTGGTGGGGCTTCCTTTCCAAAACACCCACAAATGCGTGTGTGTGTGTGGTGGGGCTTCCTTTCCAAAACACCCACAAATGTCACTTAGTGTTCCCAGCCTTCTTCCTAGTGTTCTGCACCTCACTTCTTCGTCATAGGTGCCCATCCCTCCATTCCTGCACACCCACAGTTTAGGCTGGCGGCGTTCCGGGTAACTGTTGCTAGGAGTCCAGTGGGTGGCAGGGTCAGCACTGACCTACTGATGGACCCTCAGGATGTCTCCAGACTTCACTCTTCCAAATACTGTTGCCAGGAGCATGCTCTTGCACTTGCCTCCGTGTGCACGTGCACGTGTTGGAGCTCGGACATTTACTGGCTCTGACGGCCTTGGTGAACCATCCCTGTGCAGACAGAGCGTGTGTAGGGGTCTGGGTCAGCTCACCTGTTTTGGCCGAGCCCGAGAGGATGGGCTTTTGAAAGAGAAGCCCTCCCCCTTGCTGTCCCACCCTACCCCCAGGCTCTGTGGACGGAGGTGCAGAATGGGGCCAGGATGGGGCATTCGACCTTTGCCGTCCTGACCCCCGCTGCCTCTTCACTTTTTTTGGCCTCTGAGCTTTATTTTAGTAGCTGCCCTCAAAACATAAGTCTGTTTCTCTGGTTTTCTCTTCATTTCTTTTCCTCTTGTCAGGTGTGTGTTTTATTTTACATTCTGGATGTGGATTTTTCCCCTCAGGGGAGTAAATGTCCCCGGCGGCCATTCCAAGCACGGCTCTCCCCTCTGCTCTCTTCCCACAGCGCTGCCAAGTCCAAGCCGATCATCGCGGAGCCCGAAATCCATGGTGCACAGCCCCTGGATGGGGTAACTGGGTTCCTGGTGCTGATGTCCGAGGGGCTCTATAAGGCCCTGGAGGCAGCCCACGGGCCAGGGCAGGCCAACCAGGTGAGCTGGGCCCGGGCAGAGCGCTGCTGGCCAGCCTGCAGGGTGGTGTGCTCCCCTGGGGACCCAGCCAGCCCTCCTGCTCAGCTCCGAAGTGCTCAGGGACCCTGAGAGCCCTGATTCTGAAATGCCATCGCCAGACATCTTCTCTGGGTTCATAGCGGGGGAAGAAAAAGCCCAGAGCTCCAAGAACGCTCTGCCGCCCAAAAGCTTTGCTGGTTCTGGGCTTGAAGCGGTGTCCGTCCCCAGGGCCCTGAGCAAGGCCTGAGGGGAAGAGGCTGAGATGGGGTGAATTTCCACGGCACACATTGCTCTGGAGACTGTCGGGAGGGGATATGACCTGGTCCACAGAGCACTGGCCAGGAAGTCCTCCGCCACATCCGAGTCTCACTCCACCCCTCCCTCCAGGGCCCTGAGCTGCGGATGATTTACAGTTTGTCCCTCATCTCTAGGATGGGGGACAACATCCACCTCTGTGGGATTGTGGGGGGCGGCTGTGAGACACGTGGGCCCCGGCCAGTGGGGCTGCTTGTATCCCCTTACCTTGGAGTCCACGTGTCAGACACGGTCACTGAGCAGTCACTTTGGGACGGTCACTGCAGGGGTGATCTTGGGAGCCTGCCTTGACCTGACCTTGGATTGCTGGTCAGTCAGATGAGTTCAGGTCGTGTTCCTCCTTCCATCTGTGATCCTTGTAGGAAGGTACCTCTTCTGCTTTGTCCTTTCTCATGAAAAATGACAAGGACAAAGTCTCAGGTGCCTGACTCTCCCCTGATAGCTGTGGTTGACGTGTTTCACCTGTTCTACGTTATCGTTCCTTCCAGGAGCCTGTAACAGGGGGCGGGGCTCACGGCCACGTGGAGTTAGGGTCTTGGGGCTCAGAGTTCAGGGTCTCCCTGAGGTGATGTGCTGGTCAGTGATGGAGCTGAGCCCACCGCCGGCCGGGCCCGGGTCATTTACTGGTATGTGCCCCTGCCTCCTGCCTCCAGGAGAGACTGCGGCCAGCCATCATGGGCAGGATTTTGTTTGTGTTTTTCATCTTCTTGTCAATGTAATTTTTTTTCTTTTCTTTGGTCTTCACAATAGAATTATCCAGTGGCCTCTACTGGGTTCTAGAATACATGGACAGTTGGACTTCTCTGAGGGCAGGGACCCTGTCTTCATTCTGTATCCCCAATTTCTGACAAAATTGGTGTATCATAGCCTGCAATAAGTTTGTTCCAGGAAAGAAAGCTTAATAATGATGACAGTTTATACAGGGCTTTTTAGTAGGCTCCAAAGGGCCCTCACATCCATTGTTATTTAATCCTCATAATAAGGCAGTGAGGTGTATATTATCCCCCATTTTATTGGTGTGGGAGCCAACAATCAGATCACAAAGCCACACCTTTTCTAATGAGAAAGTTCCAGAAGGATTATCCTGAATACCTTGAAAAGCTCAGATTACAGGCTTGGCTGTAGGGACTTCCTGCACCTGCTTGGCTGCTGACCCCCAAGTATCCTGCTCAGGCTCTGCATTTGTGGCCCACGGTCCTGGGCCCCCTGTTCCTCACCAGGCTTTTGCCCCCCTGCCCCAGGAGATTGCCGCCATGATCGACACTGAGTTCGCCAAGCAGACTTCCCTGGACGCGGTGGCCCAGGCCGTGGTGGACCGGGTAAAGCGTATCCACAGTGACACCTTTGCCAGTGGCGGGGAACGTGCCAAGTTCTGCCTGCGGCACGAGGACATGACCCTGCTGGTGAGGAACTTCGGCTACCCACTGGGTGAGCTGAGCCAGCCCTCACTGACCCCGGCCCCAGGTACGTGTGCTGTGCGGACAGGCAGCCGCCTGAGGACGCCGTGCAGGGCTGTGGTGGGTGCAGAGCAGCTGAGGCGATGGCCTTGCGGCCTGGAGTAGAGATGGAGATGGGAGGCCTAGCTTGGAGCAGTTCTGACCTGGGCTCTCTGAGCTGCGTGTTTTTCGTTTCCATTAGTCTGTGAGATGAGGGTAACACCCCCTGCCCTGCTGCCTCCCTTAGACCTGAGTGCGGGCTGCTCGCAGAGCTGAGGGCCACATCATAGGGACGATGGCTGAGTGCCAGGCACCATACCCGCACATTTCCCTTAGTCCTCGTTAACAACCCCAAAGACAGATGGCACCCCCCTTTTACAGAAAGGGAAACTGAGGCTCGAGAAGGAAGTGACCTAGGCGAGGTTAGGTGTGTGGACAGAAGGGCCCCCAAAGCCTGGCTCTGTCCCCGGGCCGTGTCAAAGGCAAGGGGGAGATGCTCTACTTTCTGCCTTTTTAATTCTGAAATCAGCTTGCTCAGAAAGAGAGACGATCGTTCTGTGTTGCACTCAGTGCCACTTAGCGTCGAGACCGTCAGTTCCTGGGGGCTGGTTTCTTTTCCTTTTCTCACACAAGCAGGCCTTCGTGCTCAGGCGTCCACAGATGGTCTGTTCTCCCACGGACACAGGGTTACTGGAGGTTCTTTGGCTCGTTGTTGCAGCCCTGTTTTTGTTGGGCCGACCCCAGCTAGGAGCACACTTATCCCTTGGATTAGGGCATCGTGGGAAGCTGGGCGGTAACCCTTTCGCTGAGGCAGCTCAGCGCTTGACTCTCCTGCTCTGAGCGCCAGCGGTGCTTTGCTGCAAGAGGGGGCCTCTGCCTGGCCTGGAAGAGGCTCTTCCTCGGGACACTCCTGAGCTGTAACCAGGGGCGGAGGGCCAAGCTGTGGCTTGGGGAGCCAGGCCGCCACCTGACCTCTCAGCCCCTCGGCCACTGCCCCCGTCGGGCCCTGGAGCAGCCTGTTCCCACCACCCCAGGTCCCCCTGCCGCTCCCTGTGGCCCACTCACTTGCTTCCACAGCCGCGGGAGGTCGCGTGTACCCCGTGTCCGTGCCTTACTCGAGCGCCCAGAGCACCAGCAAGACCAGTGTGACCCTGTCCCTCGTCATGCCCTCCCAGGGCCAGCTGGTCAACGGGGCCCACAGCGCAGCCACCCTGGACGAAGCCACTCCCACCCTCACCAAGTAAGCCCTCCCCCCGCCCCAGGCCCACGTCCTGGGACAGCTCTTGGCACTGGGCAGGAGTGGCCCCGGGCCCCAGATGAGATGCCTGGGTCTCACCTCCCAAATTCCCACCCCCGTCCCTGGAGAGCCCCCCAGATGCTGAGGCAGGAAGACGCAGCGCTGCAGGTTCCAGCAGCTCCCTGAAGCTGGACTAGGGGTGGGGCTTCGGGGGGCAGAGTGGCGAGCAGGCTGGGAGGGGATAGGCTGATGTTGGCAGCCTGTTGGTCATGTTTTCTTGTGGGTCCCACATGCAGTTTTCATTTGATGGGAAGGTTCTGTTCTTTCCTCTGCTCCCATCTGGGAGTGTGTGATGTAGGGTGGCCTCCCCAATGCCGTCCATGCTTGAGGGCCACTGTGTGGCCTGTCCTGGCTTGTCAGAGCTGGTGTTCTCTGCCAAAAATGTCAAATGTTAGCTTTACAGTGAGTTCTCTAGTTCAAGGTGGGGGAAGGAGTGGAGGCAGCAGGGGTGTGGAGCCTGGGGTTGGGGCCAGCCCCCTCCTCATTGCAGACCTGCCTGACAGGTCTGCTGGCCACCCCACCCCATCCTTTCTGTGGAATGTACACCACCCCACCGCACCAGGGAACCAGGATCTGGTTTCCACATTCCAGCCCTGCACAGAATAATAGAGATGCCACACCCAGCCCACTCAGAGGATGTGGCCAATTGGAAGGGCCATCGGCGGGGAGTCACACTGTTTCCCTCTGCCTCGCCGGGGGCCTTCTGTTCTCCCTGCCCCCATGCTGCTGCTGCTGCTGCTGCAGCCACCACCAAGGGCTGGAGGGGCCTGCCAGGCAGCTGAGCGATGGGCATCCCAAGCGCAGTAGGGTGACTTCCCTGTCCCTTCAGGGCTGCCCAGTGGAGGCCACCAGCTGTCTCCACAGAGCCAGAGCCTGATAGCAGTGGTCCCAGACCAGCAAGCCAACCAGCTGTCTTTCTGTGCCTCTATATTCCTGGGCCCCTGACAGCCCCCTTCCTCCGTCCTGCATCTAAGCGTCAGCTGGGCCCTGCCGGCTGGCCCGGTGCTGGGTGCTGGGCAGGCTTGGGAGTTTGCAGGACGGTGGGCTGGCAGGAATTCACGGCTCATACATGCTCTGTGGCAGAGGGTGGGTGCCCAGGAAGCTCAGAGAACACGAGCTGCTGAGAGAGGAGTGACTGGGAGGGAGGAAGGAAGGTTTTCTGGGAGAAGAGCCCTTGCCTGCCTGTGGTCAGTGGGGTCTGCATTAGGATGGATTGGGAAAGACTGGAAAGGATGGCCTCTAGCTCAGCACCGCTCTGAGGGTGGAAATGTTCTGTGTCCTCTGCAGTAGCCGCCAGCCACGTGTAGTTATTGAGCACTTGAACTGGGTGATCCATTGTATTTAATTCTAGTTAACTTAAGTAGCTACATAATAGCTAGAGCTTTAAAAATTCCTTTTGACTTTTCATCTGCCCCTGAGAACATCTGGTTGGGCTGGCTCTTGTAGTTTCCTTTGTCAGAGAGGCCTGTGGCCTGAGGAGCTGGTCGAGGCAGGGGCCTCTCTGTCCCCAGGCTGGACGCCAAGGCCCCTGACTGACTGTCCCCTGTCGTCCCCGCAGCCAGAGCCCGACCCTGACCCTGCAGTCCACCAACACGCACACCCAGAGCAGCAGCTCCAGCTCGGATGGGGGCCTCTTCCGCTCCCGGCCAGCCCACTCGCTCCCGCCTGGCGAGGACGGCCGCGTCGAGCCCTACGTGGACTTCGCTGAGTTCTACCGCCTCTGGAGTGTGGACCATGGGGAGCAGAGCGTGATGACGGCACCGTAGCCCCAGCCCGGAGTGCAGCCGAGCAGGACCTTGCGTGGGACGAGGGGCCTAGCTCTGGGGTCGGACAGGCCTTCTCCTGCTGTTTGCCTGTGCTGTGGGGCCAGTGGTGCCCAGTCATCAGCCAGCACCATGCCCTCGCCCCACAGCTCTCGGTGCTGTAGAGAATGTCCTCTCAGAAGGCGCCAGTGCAGACTGGACCCCTGGGACCTTGTCACACACAGAGGGCTGGAGGCCACTCCCTCAGGCAGCCTCAGCCAGGACCATCGCCATTTCTCGGAACAAGGGACACGGGTGCAGAAGCTGTGTTGGCCCGCAGGCCCACCGTGTGGGCAGAATGTGAAGAGATTCTCCTGTGACCCCGCACCCCACAGGCCCAGCAGCCACTGCTTTCTCAAGGCCACCCCTGTCCTGCGGCCACCTCCCCTGGAAGAGCCTGTGGCCGCTGCTAGTGCCCCCTTCACCCCTGGGCAGTGGCGACCCCCTTTGTTCTCCAGCCTCCAGAGCAGAACCCCAGCTGGTGTCTGCACCCAGCCCTGGGCGCCATCCTGGGCTGCCCGGGTTGTTTTCAGTGGCAACTGTTCAGGAAGACCAGGGAAGCATCAGGGCCTGTGATGGCTACAGAGGGGCCAGGTCAGATGGGAAGGAACTGGAAGGACCTGGGCCAAGAGAAGCCCTGGTCCTGGAGTCCACCAGAGGGGGTGGGCTGGGTGAGGCGGGCTTCACCAGAACCATGGGTGCAGGAGAGGGGGTGCTGCGCCTGGACCAAGCGGGGGTAGTGGCTGCTCTTGTCAGGCCCCTCCAGGCGGGGGGCCCCGAATCAGGGTGAGCTTTGCTCTTTCCTTACTGGTGCTGGGGAGGCCACAGGTTGGGGAGCCGCTGGGATTAAGGATCTTGACCACTGAGGAGGAGTCTCTCCCAGCTCCAAGGTAACAGGTCATGAGTCAGGCTGGGGGCTCATTTGAGAGAGAACAGTAGAATATGCTCCCCAAAGGGAAGAGGTTCTTTCAGACCAGCTGCTCTGGGTGGCCGAGGGCTTTAGAGATGTACACTTTTTACAGACACTGAGGGGCTGGGGCAGGCCGGCCCGGGCCCTGAGTAAGACCATCTCACACGTGCACCCTGCCATTGGGGCCAGGGTTGTCGGCCGGATCGCTGTTCCTCTTTTCTGAGGACAGGGTAGGCCCGGGAGACTCAGGAAGTGCCCCCGTCACAGGCAGTGGTGGGGCACAACTCGTCAGCGTCCGAGGGCCCCTGGATTCTGCCATCCCCCCCGCCCCCCAGCTCCCATTCTCCTGCCCCACCACGCCAGACACGGCTCGCCAGACACGGCTCACCAGGCACTGGCCGTGGTGTGCGGCCTCCAGCGTACTCAGACTCTGAGAGTCAGAGGCCATTCCCGGGGCCCCGGCTCGCGCTGTGGTCCGGGATTGCGTTTCCCTGCAGCAGAGCGAGGCCCAGGGCTGGTCTCCCAGGGAAGCAGAGGCACGACCAGAGGAAGTACGTCTCCGCAGGGGGCCCTCCACTCCTCTCCACCGGGAGCCGCCTCTGTTCTGCAGGTGAGCAGATTTCAAATCAGTCACAAAGGCTTGAGAGCAAAGGGAATTCTCTTCCAAGAATGTCTCCAGGTTGCTGTTTGGCTCTAGAAATAGAATCACTTTTTTACCACAGTGAAGACATAATAAATGGTGGTATTACATGGCTGGTGTCAGTGGTGCTTTTACTCAAGTCTCAGGTGCCTCTGGAGGCAGCCCCGGGGGGCGCCTCCTGCTGCCCTGCTCAGCCACCAGGAGGGCCAGCTTACCGGGCGGGGGTTGGCAGAGCTGGAGTGTGGACCCCGCCTCCTGACTGGACCCCGTGCTGCCGCCCCCATGGCCCGGGAGAGAGTGTGGGGTGTCTGGCATCCCTCCAGGGCCCCGCACATCTGGAGGGGATGACAGCTCTCTCCCGCTGTGGGCCAGGTCTCCCACTCCTGACCGCTAGCCGGGTCCTTGGCATGTGGGAGTGCTGTGGCCGTCAGCTGCAGGTCGCGGGGCAGCCCGCCTCCCACCCGGTAGCAGCCATTCTTTATTTTGGTTTTGTTTGGTGGGAGGCTATTCTGTAAATACTGGCCCACAAAGAGCCTCTTCGGCTTTCTGGGAGTCGGAACTAAACTGAAATGTGGAGTCTGCTCGGGAACAAAGCCACGCTCGACGTTCAGGTGCTGGACTCCGAGGCCCCCTGGCTGGAAAGGGTCCCGAGGCAGAGGGTCTGCCCCCTCCTCAGCTTCCCCCGCCGCCCACTCGGGCGGTCCTGGTGACCAGGGCCCCCCCAGCCCTCCTGAAGTCATGGCCTCAGGCTGGCACCCAGAGGGAGGTGGCGGGTGCAGCATTTCTCCAATGAGTCACTGAGGCGCGGATGGGTGAGGGCGCAGTCCTGTCACAATGGCTTCGCCCAGCCCCAGGCCCCTGGGCCTCTCCCAGCACCTGCTTTGCCCTAGGAGTGTGGTGGCAGGGCGCGTGTCCCCTGTTCCCCGGCCTCGTGTCATTCAGCTCCCCTCGAGCCTGTCTCCTAGGGCTGAGAGGAGCACCGTTGGAGCCTCTGGGTTCCCTTTGTTGGAGTCTGGTGTGTGGAGCAGAGAGGGGAGCTTGGGATCTGTTTAGGATTTAAGAAGTGGTGAGGGTCAGGACCAGGAAAGAACCAAGGCAGCCAGGCGAAGCTGCGCAGCTGTCACTGCCCCTCGGACGCCTGGGGGGCAGAGTGCCACAGCCGGGCCCAGCCGGCCCGAGCCCCTGTCCAGCCTTGACCACCTGCCACAGCCTCTGAGAGAGTGCTTGGCTTCTGTGAGGCTGGACCAGACAGACCGGAGAAGCCCACCCCCCACCTGCCACCGTGTCACTTATCCCTTGAGGACATCTGGTCCCTGCCAGGGCGGGACTGTCAGAGGCCTGGTTGAGACCCTGGCTTGCAGCAGACCAGATGGGGCCAGGCCTTCCTGAGCCGCTGCTGGTCCCGGGGCTGGGGCAGGTGGGTGGGGAAGGGGACGCCCTGGGGCTGTCTTCGCTAGGGTTCTGCTGCTTGTCCAGCCCTGTCTGGGCCTCTTGTCCTCAGAACCGGCCCTTGAGCTGAGCCGCAGAGCAAGCTCCGTGGTGCACTTGCTGCAGGGTGTCCTCAGCGCTGGTGGCATTGGCAGTGAGACCTGTGAGAAGCCACTCGGGCCGCTGTGTAGCGTCGTAGGGACAGCGTCTGTGGGGCTCCTTCTACCACCGGCTCCTCCTGTCACTCAGGCCTGAGCACGAATGCTGCCTCCTGTCCGAGGCCCCTCCCGACCCACCCCAGCCACCTCCCTGCTTAATCTGCTTCCCAGAAGCGCTCACGTCTCACATTCTTGCTCATTTATCTGTGTTTGTCTCCCTTGCCCACCAAGGTGTGCATTCCCTGGGAGCAGGGATGTTGTCTGCCTTATTCCATTGGGTCCTGACCCCAAGGTCCGTGCCAGCCACGTAGTAGGCCCTCACGTATGTGTTGAACGAATGGATGTGTGACCGGCTATGTGACCTTGGGCAAGTTACTTGACCATGCTGAGCCTCAGCTTCTTCGTGTATAAAATGAGGATACAACCCACCTCTTAGTGAGATTATCTGAGCCACCACAGCTATGAGGTAAGAATTGCCGTGCTTTACAGATGTGGAAATGGACTGGGACGTGTTACCAGGGCATTAGCTGGGGTTCCCACCCCCGCTGCTCTCACCATAAACACACACACGCACACATGCACGCACACACACGCGTGTGCACACATGCTCCGCTTGGGGCCTCGCTCACAGCAGGTGCTGCTCGGCTCCCTAGGATGCCAGCCGCTGGGAAGGGGGTGTGGCTCCTGCTTCTCCGCTGAAGCCCAGAGGGAGGCCGTCGGCCGGCTCCCGAACCTTTCTTCCAACAAGGGCAGCTTTCATGCTTCTGCCTTCTGGGCCCCCTGTTTGGAAAGCAGACAAGGACACAGACCACTGCCAATCCCGACGGCATGAGCACGCACTTTGTTCCCACACGGAGGTGATGTCAGCCCCGAGCAAAGACGGGCACTTGACATTTCCGCGAGCCCGGGCGGCCTCCTCGAGGACAGACGCAGTCTGGCCGCTGGCTTTGAGGAGCGTTGACACCAGTTCACGGGCTGTGTTCCTGCCTTCAAGACCCCCGGAGGGGTCCGAGGACCCAGGCTGTGTGGCCCAGTTGTCTAGTCCAGCCCCTTCTTGTCCTTGTTCTTCTGGGTCACTCGTGGGCCAGGGCAGGGACAGGGTGGGCCTCAGAGCCCCGTGGCTGTTCCCACACACTCCATGATCAAGCTCCCACACTTGTCCCTTCAGCAAAGCCATCCTGTGGCCCGAGTGCTGAGCTCAAGAAGCTTCCGTGGCTCCAGCCTGCCTCCTGGCCCTGCTGTGTGGGAGTCCTTTGCGTGCTTGCTTATTCCCCCCAACCCTCCCCACCCCCCGGGCCTGCACCCAGACCCTCTCCTCCAGTCCTCTCGGTGGCCCGGGGCCAGCCCCGGGCCATGTCTAAGAAACGTCAGAGGAAGAGGAACCAGCGGATAGATGAACTGCTCTGAGAAGAGCTTCTGGAACTTCTCTACAGGAAATATCTTTACCCTACGGAAAACTACCCCCACCCCAGTACCCCCCGAGTTTCGAGGTTTGTACGAAATTAGATGTCTCATAATTTATTTTATGAATATCTAGGTGAATTCTGCAGTCAAATCCATAACATCCTGTGTTCGTTTTAACACAAAAGTAACAGTTTTTTTTTCAAAAATAACATTTAAAACTACTTATTATCAGATAAATCGATGCTTCAGGATGTGCACCAGGTCAGTCCTACAGGAGTGCGGTCCTGGGCACATCACAGGGAAGCCAGCAGGTTCCAGACCGAGGGGCCCAGTGACCCACTGAAGCTCGCTGACTGCTGAGCGCCGGGCGGGACTTGAGGTGCCTTACCTCCCGAGGGGGCCCTCGCGGCGCCCCCCACACCCAGCGCCACCGGGCAGGGGTTTGTGCCTGACAGTTCGCTGGTCCTGTGGTTGCCTCCCCTTTAGGGAGGGAAAGTAAAGCATGGACAGGTTAAGGAGTTTGGGCAGAGGGGTCAGGAGACAGATTTCTGCTCAGGATCAGACAGAACTTTCTAACAGCGTGTGAGATGATGGGCATTGGAAGCGCTGCCTGCGGGAGGTGGGAGCTTCTGTCATCACGGGTATGTGAGCAGTGAGCACCGCTGGGTCCCATGGGGCGGGGGAGGACTGAGCGCGGGCCCAGCCTGGCTGCCGTCAGAGCCGTGTGGCAGTGAAGAGCTGGTGACT